CTTTTATTTTAACGTTTACTAAATATCAACCAACAACTTAAGGATACGAATGTGAATACTACGAATCATTTGATGGTATAATTCAGCCTGAAATTTGGATAACCCTCAATTTAAATCAAAAGTGCGTCAAGTTTGGACCTGCGTCAAATATGGTGCCTCCACGGTAGTGTCAGAGATTTACTCCCTAGAAAATTTGAAGTGACAGTACAAGTCAGCCTTCTTGCCGACGATTTCGGACGCTGGATCGAATCACCTTATCCCACTTTAATCTCCCTTCGCAAGCTTCTTCCTATGAACACTATCCCACCCAGAGTGTTTTGGTATAATACTTTTTAAAACCAGTATCTCTGCACTGTCTTAAGATATTGGCGTAGATTTTCTTTCCGATAATAGAAGAACTACTATAGTACAGGCAATGTTGTAATAGTTTTACAAAACTAGGTTGTAATTTCAGAAAGTTATAGCACACAATGTCACAATGTGCTCCAGAGTAGCCATGGGCGGAAAAGAGTTAAATGGCCAAACAAAGATAGGTGTAGATAAGCATTGTACTACTTTCGTATTCTGAGATATCGTTAAAAAGTACACAGTTATTGCCTACCTGCTACGAAACTAAAGATAAAGATGTTTGTAGAAACGTTACTACTGGAACCTAGTTTTTAATCCAGAGGTGATTTGATATCACCAGTATTTTGTCAGTGTCACCGAGCTAAAGTGAAATGGCATTAAAATCATGGCACTTGGTATTACTACGATGAATGACCTTAATCCCTGACTGGGCACCCGGGTACCCTTGCTTATTACGAAGTTGAAAGAACCGAAAATTTTTAAGTAAAGTAGGTTTAGAAAACAACTGAAATATGATGTATACAAATTTCAGAATCGACCATCCATTGTCCCAGAAATAGATTTCGGAAGTCCCGGAGGAAGTGGCCAATCATTAAATTCATCTAAAACTAGTCATGTGGCATATAAAAATGTTCAGATTTACGTAAGCAATTTATTTGACACCCTGTCAAATAAAAATAGTGACAATGGTCACCCAATGACTGGAACAGATTCCGGAGGCCCCGGAGGAAGTGGTTAATCTCAAAATTAAACAAAAACTAGACATGTTCATTTCATAATTTTATGACCATGTCAATTGAGTAGAGTGACAATGGCCACCCAACGTTCCTGAAACAGGTTCCGGAAGTCCCAGAGGAAGTAGCCAATCCTCGATTTCTACAAAAGATGGTCAAACGGTATATTCAAGTTTTCAGAAGATCGTGGACATATCAGTAGAGGCCATTCCAATTCAATAGAGTGACAATGGTCACCATATGTCCCTGGCAGGCATTGAAAATCATTTGCATTCATTTCGTGCATTCATTTAAATTCATTTGCCTCTAACTTTTTTCTTCAACAGCATTCCGCAAAATGATTCATGAAGCTTTTGTAGGTTTTGTTATTAGGTACAACTTTTGTTAACAAGTCAAATCCGTATCTCTTATGCATGACGAACCAGAGCGAACAGAAGCCACTGCTGTTTTTCAGTGAATGTATTTTACATTCACTGAAAAACAGTAACAAGTTCTGCCCGCTCTAGTTCGTGATGCATAAGAGATACAGATTTGAGTTGTGAGCAAAAGTTGTAGCTAATAACAAAACCTACAAAAGCTCCATACATTATTTTGCGGTATGCGGTTGATGGAAAAAGTTAGAGGCAAATGAATGTAAATGATGTTCCATGCCTGGTCCCTGGTATATGGATTTCGGAAACCCCGCAGAAAGTGGTAAATTTATGATTTGAGCATGAGTATGAGCATCAGTATTGGCGACCATACAATTCAGTAGTTGCTACTCCGTCATTGACCAGATCAAGTGAAATTTGCACAAAGAACCAATTCAAATGGTGCTTGGGATTAGCAATCCATTCTCGTTGTGAAAAATCCGGTAAATCATTACTTTTAAGGTCATAACGGCGCCGGCCACATCCTTACGGTCGTCGGGGAGGGAAAATATTGTTAGTTCACCACCTAAGGCTACCGTGCCCTGACATCACAATAATACGACCGACGATCTTTCAAGTTCAGATGAAAAAAGTAATATAAATTTAATCATGATCTAAAAAAAAAAGTTAAAAATGTTTCCCAAATCTTCTTATAACAGTAATGATTTTCTTCAATAGACGCCCGGGACTGTAATGCAAAGAGACTAACCCATGATCTTCTGGTGAGTAAGCAAAAACGGTTGCTCTAAAGCCACCGTGCCATTTACATTACACCAAGATATGACCAACGATATATCAAGCCCGGGTAAAAAGCTATTTAAATAAAATGACGCCCCCGAAAGCAGTTAACAAAGTTTCTCAAACCGCATCAGGCATACGTAAAATTTTAATATTCTTATTACTTTTTCCGTACCGTTACGCCCGAGTTCTATCTGATACGATTTTCTACAAAAGTGGCCTGGGAAAGATCTTAATATCTTTTCCCAGCAAGACTCAAACATGTGTTTGAACCTGGGTCGAGCAAAAGACATATTCCAATAAAAAGAACACTTTTGTATACCACATCTATCCAACAGTTTGCTCGCACGTTCAAAAGCGATATCGTACCTCATGCAATACAATAAAACATTATTAATTAAACTTCAAAATAAACCTTTTCAAATCACTCCGTGCACAAAAACAACGCTCATCGAAAAAACCCAACAATAGATCAGCGCTGTCGAGTCACACCGGCAACAAAGGGAAGCGAGATCACATCAAGCACCCAAGCAACAGGGAAAAAAACATCTGCACAAACCCCTCCAAATCACACCATCGCGCCCGGGACACAAAACTAATAAAATACAACAATTTTCAATCTTTTTATATTCCGGAACCTATGCCAGAGCCATTGGGAGGCTATTGTCACTCTACTCAATTGGGATGGCCACTAATTATTAGTTCCAGGGATATTGGGTGGCCATTGTCTCGCTGCTCAATTGGTAGGGTGTCTAATGAATTATCTACAAATTTATGTAAATTTTGGTATGCCATGTACATTGTATGTACATTGAACATCACTTCCGGGGACTTCCGAAAAACTATTCCACAACATAGGGTGGCCATTGTCACTCTGCTCAATTGGCATGGCCTTTCATGACCGGAATCTATTCCAGGGACATTGAGTGGCCATTGTTACTCTTCTTAATTGAAAGGGTGTCTAATAAATTTTCTACAAATTTTTTAAATTGTGATATGCTGCATGACCACCATGTTGAAATCGGAGATTGACCACTTCCTCCGGGGCTTCCGGAAACTGTTCCAAAATAATTGGGTAGCAATTGTAACTCTGTTCAATTGACATGGAAGCTAATGACATGTCCATAAAATTCTGAAAATTTGTATATCATCAGCTTTTGTCTTCTTCATTCCTTTATTTAACGTCGGTTTCTGTTCCGCAATCTACACAGTTCGAAAAAGTAGTGTAAATTTCTGTTCACTGGAGCGTCACATATCATATAAGTTTACATTATATATCATGTAAAGTTCTGAGACATTTCATGCAATGTAGCAAATATTGTATACAACAGCCAATTTTTGTAAACAACATTGTTTACAAGTTGCTCGGTTCTGTGAAATGAAATACAAGTTTACGTGAATGAATGTTTACATCACTATTAAAATTAAGAATTTTTATCTGTGTAGTGCCAATCACCGACGGACATCGATTGCCATCGATTTATGGCAATCGAATGTGCAGGAAGGCAGCTTCCACACCTGCGTAGGATGTCGCACCAATTCAACATACATGGGCCGGGACTAACGGCTTTACTTTCTTTCCGTGACCAGAGATTTTTATGCCTCAGAAAAATCCCACCGACCTCGACTGGGATTGAACCCAGACCCATTGGGGTGAGAAAGCAGTCACGCTTACCACTACACCACCGGCGCCGGCAATCAGCTTTTGTAAGAATCGAAGCTTGACCACTTCCTCCTGGGTTTCCGGAATGTATGCCAATGACATAACGAGGCCATTGTCACGCTGCTCAATTGGTAGGATGTCTAATTTGTCTACAAATGTCTGAACAATTGGTATGCCGCATGATCAGCTTTTGTTGAAATCAGAGATTGGCCACTTCCTTTGGAGCTTCCGGAACCTGTTCCCGAGATAATTTATGATCCATCTAGAAGTTTATTTACACCATAAGTCAGTTCTTATCATAACCATCGATCTGGCAAAACATGTTTTGGTTGTATTTCGATGTTTCAGTTTCGTAAAAACCCGGTAGAGATGGTCGGGTATGTAATTTTAAATACCAGAACCCGACCCGTACCCGATTCATAAAATTTTCCCGACCCAAACCCGAAATGTGATTGTTTTTTTAAATAACCGTACCCGACCCGAAAATTTAGCTTTCTGAATACCCGTACCCGACCCGAAGTTTTGGGTAAACAAACCCATGCCTAATCATCTACAGTTGAACACTTATACTTATTTGTATGGTTTCTGTTTCTGTGAAGTTACATGTGTTATTTGTTGAAGGAATTCGCAAAAAAGTTTGTTTTGAAGCTTTCTTATTTGGATAAGATGCAAGAAATACCCGTACCCGACTATTCCACGTTTGTTGTTACCCGTACCCGACCAGAACCCGAAAATTTAATTATTTGCATGCCCGTGCTCGACCCGAACCCGTCGGGTCGGGTTTCGGGTAAAATATCCATACCTAACCATCTATATAATATTTGGACCCTGATTAGTCCCTTCTTTGCCCAAATCTGTTAAAATTTCATCAGATCCTAAAGTTTATCTTAGCATTTTACAAGATGTCAAAAAGCGGTATAACGATAAACATCACCTACATGATTTTATTTTAAATAAAAAAAATAACAAAATGGGTATACGGGTACCCCGTCGGGTTAAGGTTTAAATCCCGTCAATAATAACAAAAACAACATCTTGGTATAAAACAATCATACAAAATATATTCCTATAAGTTAAGATTTTGCTTAAATAGTGCTAATTGAGCTGTTCTCCAACGTCTACTTCCTAGCCAAGTTGATGAGATTTTCTGCTTCTACCGGTCCGGTTGCCAGAATAATTTCTCTGAACACTCCATGCTCCGTTTGTACCAATTCGTACGGTGTACCAAATTCGACTGCCCTGCCTTCACTCATCACCAGTATCCGATCGTAATCCATGATAGTATTGAGCCGATGAGCTATCGTCAGTACCGTGCAACCGACGAATCGCTGTCGGATAGTATGCTGAATCAGACGATCGGTTCTAAAAGCATTGGAAGATCCGATTAACAGATGATGATTGGAATTAAAACTATACAACTTACTCAGGATCCACATTGGCCGTAGCCTCATCGAGCAAAAGAATCTTGTTGCTTCGCAGAACTGCCCTGGCCAAGCACAGCAGTTGACGCTGACCAACGCTGTAGTTGGATCCACCAGATGCGACGTAAGTTTGCAACCCTGCAGGGCCATCGGCAACATCTTTTAGTTCTACCAGATCCAATGCTTGCCATAGATCCGAATCGGAATATTTATCGAATGGGTCTAGATTTTTCCTCAGACTTCCACTGAACAGTACCGGATCTTGTGGGATGATCGATATATTCGATCTGAGGGTTTCCAATGTGATCTCTACCGTGTTTATACCATCGATCGTGATGCTTCCTTCGAGAATAGCCGTGCGGAATAGTGCCCCAATGATCGAGGATTTCCCTGCACCGGTTCGACCCACAATTCCTACCTTTTCTCTAGGTTTAATCTCAAAGCTAAGATCGCGAAGCACCAAAGGAGCCCCCTCGTAATACTTAAAATTGACCTTCCTTAACTCTATCCTACCCTCCGAAGGCCATTGCCCGGATCTCACTCGTTCCGCATCTTCGGTAGGCTGCTGCTCTGTTGGTAGATTTTTGTACTCCAACAACCGTTCGACCGCAATCAAATGGTTGAACATTTCCGCACTTTGCCGAATGCCAAACTGTAGCAATCCCGCTAGAGCAGTTATTTGAGTAACTACCAAACCCACCTTGTCGCCGAGGACGGTATTCTCGAACAGTAGAAATGTGAATATAACGATAACTAAGAACAAAAAGAATATCAAATCCAGCACGAATCCGAAGGCAACTCTACCACAATGGAACATGAAGTACGCCCCAGTGTTCACGTTCTGGTGCTGATCAAATTCGCCCATCAAAAGTCTCTGCACTCCAAACGAACGAATCGTTGGCAGACCGTTAAGAGTAGTGGCAATGTGGCTGAAGATTGGTGATCGAGCTAAAATAGAATTAAGTTGTAAGTTAGTTCAGCGCGGCAATTAACATCGATTCGAACTTACTGATTCCTTCCAGTCTTCTACTGTTTTGCGAAGTTTTCATGTAAATCGACCGGGTGTACAGTAAGATCACCAGCAGAATCAAAATCGGTATCAGAAAGAACGGTTGAACTATCAGAATTACCAGCATGGCACCGATGATGGTCAGAACGGTTTGCGCAGCATCCATGATCGATTTTGGCAACATCTCATCCATCGCACCCATGTCTTTGGAGAAACGATTTAAAATCCGGCCAGATGGGTTGGTATCGAAGAACCGTTTCGTTGCCGAGATAAAACCCTTGAAGCACCAATCGTGGATGGTTTGCGAGGCACGAGCACACGATCGGTAGAAGTTGTTAGCCCTAATGGAAAACGGTCGACACTTGAGAATTTACACTGAGGACGTGAATCGCCACATCCGGTTCACAACGGGCAAGAAATCGAAATTTAACGACAGTAAAGACTGTTTCAGAATTATAAGCACATCCAACGACCGCACCTTCGAAATATTTCCTCAACTCGGCGCTACTGTTCTTCAATTGTGTTGAAACAGTTGTTGGCGGTTTTTAGGCTTGTTTGAAAGTTTATCCGGATGTGGTGCATGGAAGTCATCAAATACTTACCGTGTCATGCCGATTATGAAAATACTGGCAACTGCTGCGGCTTGCACATACAAGCAAATATCCGTATCTAGAGGTTTCTCAGATTCATTTTCAATCACATGGGTTCCGTTATTATCGCTTATAAACGATCTCAACTCCTCCTGTGATACCCAGAAAGAGATCCAGTAATCGGTAAAACTAACGATCAATTGAGTAACTACAAATAGTAGCACCAGTACGGAGGCAATGAACAAACTGCCAGCTCCTGAGGCGTAATGCATAAAAATTGATCCTGCTACCGTGTCTTCCGATGATTTCTCGAAAGCCTGTTCAATTTTCTTACTGTCATATTCTTCCATTGGTTCGTTTTTTAAATCACTACAACTCGATTTTGATGATGTTACTGAAATACACGAGCTTTGTCTACTTAAATGAGATTCGCCATCTGTACTTTCGGTACATTCTGAGTCGACCCACTTCACCAAGTCGATTCCTTTCTGCATGAGATCTTGCGGTCTTCCTTGAGCTTCTATTTTGCCCTAAAAGATCACACGCATTAGGCTTGGTAAGGGCTACATTCTATGAAGGACATGCTTACCTCGTTCATCACAACAATCCAATCAGATTCCACTAAGAAGTGCACTTGATGCGTCACCAAGATCCTCGTAGCACCTTGTCTGCCGAGAAAACCTTTGTCGCCGATACATAGATCGAAGAGATGCTTTGCCACGTGTGCATCAACTGCACTCAGCGGATCATCCATCAGGTAGATTCCTGATTGCCTGTAGACTGCTCGTGCTAAACTAAGATCCGATCAATGTCTTGAACGAATTCAAATAATTCAAAAAATCTTACCATATTCTAGCTTTCTGTCCACCTGACAGAGAAATGCCCCGTTCGCCAACCAACGTTTCATCTCCATCTGGAAACTGTTTCAAATCCTCTTCCAAAGCGCATACATGAACCACTTTCTTGTAACGTCTTTTATCCATTGCAATTCCGAAGAGAATATTCTGCCGAATACTACCAGCGAATAGCCACGGCTCTTGACTAACGTAGGAAACCGTTTCATGGTTCACGATCCGTCCCGACTCAAGAGGTAGTTCGCCAAGAATCGCTTGAAAAATGGATGATTTGCCGGAACCGATAGGACCAACAATTCCAATAAGCTGACCTCTTGGAATATCCACACTCAATTTGTCCAACGTAAGTGGTCGGGGGTTCTGATCTCCCTCCTTTGGTTTGACCCATCGAGCAGTCACCTCTCGTAAGGATATTGCCGTGTTGGCTTCAGTTGGTTGACCAGTTTTGGTTTCCTCGGATTTTAAAGGAAGTCCATTTTGATGGATTTCTTCGAATTCTAAGAATTTTTGCAACCTTCGTGTTGCAACCAGTCCTTCTGCTATTTCTGCCACGCCTCGCACAAACATCCCGGACATTGTGTACGAAACAATGTTTAGATAGCTAGCCACTACAAACACTTTGGCAGCGGTTATCTCTTCCTGCATCACTATCAACGCAACCATTGTGGCGAACAGGGCAGCCCGGGTCGTAAACAACACAAAGGTCATGTACAATCCTCGAATAAATCCGCTTTTGAGGACGATCTTCAACTCTGCTCTTCTGGCGGCGGAGATCAACTGGGCGAACGGTTTCTCCCAAGCATACAATTTGATTACCTGAATTCCCGATATGATTTCGTCCATCAAACGAATCCGTTCGTCCGTTCTTAGCGCAGTTTGCAGGCGGAAGCGCGAAGTCAACTTACCGAAGACGGCTGTAAAAAATAGCTGAAGATTAATCTCATGGTTCATTCTACTGAGACTCATTCTTACACTGAATCGGTGTAACCACAAAGATAACCCCCATCCCGATGGGTCCAGCCCATCCGACTTCGTACCACAGGAGGACCAGTACGATTACGGTTACAATCGGTGAAGCCCACATGTAGCAAATCAGAAATGCTACAATATCGAACCGATTGACGTCGTTCGACATCAGGTTGACAACCTTTCCAGGTGAGGTGTCCCCTAGGGCGTTCCGCGACAGACGTAGCGATTTACGATACAAGACGCTGCACATCGCAATCTTCGTTCGAATTCCAGTTAAACAGGTCAGGATGGCGTACTGATTATCCAGAATGATACTGGCCGCTTTGGCTGCGATCATGGCGATTGCGTAGTACAATGCTTCTTCGTAGGAAATCTCCGATTGGCGTCTGGTTAGTGGGAAAGTTTAGTAAGTTGCAATTTTAAAATTTTCTAGTATCTATGTATTAATACCTAAAGTACAGCAGCAGTCTTCCGAGGAAAATGGGCTGAGCAATACGAAGTATGATTTCTCCAAATACTGTGATTATGGAAAGAATGGCCCAGTCTTTCCAGAAAGTACGAAATATTGCCTTCACCAGCGAGGGTTGTAAGTTTGGATTGTGTATGCGTTTCTGAACCTGTTTTTGCCAGTTTCTAGGGGGAAATTTTACCGTTAGATATAACAATCTTCAGGAAATCGGCTTAAAAGTTGTATTAGAGCTTATGTGGATTTGCGTTGTGAGTTCAGGAAACGTTTATGTTACTACGGATTATCGCTTAAAGCAGCATATTGGAGTTAGGGGATGTAACTGTACCGAGGTCAGTTCGCAGATATTGTGAGTAGAATGATATTCGGGGATTTTATTGAATTTTCAAAGGTTGCGTGGCAAAACTGAGATTTTAAAATAACTTGAACAGAATTTAATTTATAGACCACAACCATCTAACCTAACGTATTTCGACCACCGTGGTCATCTACTATTTCATTCTAATTAAGCATAATAAAATCCATCGCGAATAGAAAGACAATAACAAGACACACTTCAATGACGTCTTGACTGAATTGATTCACGCGCTGACTAACCAAAACGAATCCACTACAAACTCGTCAAGCACAATCAATCCGCACTTACATCTCTAATTGATCACCCAATTTGTCTGCCCGGTCGTCCTCCAGTGGTTTGTACAAATCCGCTAAGCCCAGCGTCTTGGTTGACCCCTTTCGGAACATATCCACCGTCCACCAGAAGGTTAGCACCGAGAGCAGGTTTGCATTTTGGCGTGGGTTGTTACACAACTTTACCTTTGGTGCTTCCATATTACGCGACTTGTTCTCACTTTACTATCACTGTGAATAATGTCATTTCATGCTTCCCATCCACAGCAGTTTGTTTGATCTCATAAAACTGCCGTATAGATAAGCGAACACTCTTCACGTTCACTGCGTTTCAATTTAACAACACGTTAAGTACCAGGTATCTTTTCTCCAAGCTCACGTTATCTAGTGCGGCGCTACATCACTGATGGCATACAATCGAAGCAAATATTTGGATTCAAAATCGAATCAAACAAAACTCAACAACCCGTGATAGGACGGAGGCGACGTCGCCACCAAAATCAGCTGTTAATACGCGTGCCGACAGACTACAGCTGTAAAATTGCACAGTTTATGTTGTGATTAAAAGACACACATGTGCAACTGATGGCAACAGAACGACGACTAGTGTCGGATGGAGTCTGCGCTCTATTGCCCGCTGAGCCACATGTTGCTCTGTACTATCGTTAGAAACTGAGCGAATGCCTAACTACACAAATAACATGACGTCGTCGCGTTTCATCGTATATGTTTGCACACTTTTGCTGGTATTCTGTTTCTTCACATCTAAATCATTCTCATCATTTAGTTGCTATGGTTGCCGCAAATAGCTTATCCTAAACCTAGTTTTGCAGTAGCACAAGTACCCGAGTAAAAGCTTTGTAATAAAAACAAATACATTAATAATTGTCTGTTCTTCTTAATAGCTACTAGGGTAAGTGCATCAGTTTTGGTGCTAGTATTCTAGTCAGAGAATCAAAACAGAGAAAGCAATCATAAAGACAAAGCGCTTGAAACGACTACTATGATAAACTCTCTCTGCAACATAGCTTGATTAGAACGGTGGAAGGAAATAGATAAAATTTCTTGCAAGCTTTGTTGTAACAAACGCGGTTGACAACATAGCTTGGTCCGAACGGTGAAAGGACATGACAAAAAAATCCCCATGTACTTCCATGTATCATCTCCTCATCTCCTTACAAACAATTATACTTGGTTGCTTCCACCGCCTACAAAAATGCAGAGGAGGAGAGGATGGTGTTTATCAAATACAAGTCCAAGGAAGGCATGTGAGACCAAAAGATGCTGCCGTTGCATTATGCTAATGGAAAAAAGTGAATGTAAACATATCGGCAGCCGGTAGTAACATTCAATATGTATGGGTGTTTAACCTACCGCCCGAGATATCCAATCACAATCTGACGGCTCATCAAGTACGTAAAAATCAAACGCTTGATCATCAGCTTGATTTATTTACTGGTGTCCGTATTGGCCCTCTCCAGAATTATTTAGCCTCCCCGGGGTATTTTGTCAAGCAGTTTCGAGGTTAAATACTTTTTATTTTAGTTGATTTTTATAAATGTGTACTTTTCTTAATCTTCTAGAAACAATGCCGTGAATTTATATTATATCGACATTCAATTGAAAGCTTCAAGGACTTCTAAGAAGTTCAAGAAACATCATAGAAATTAACGAAACTTACTAGTAATTCTGGGAGCTTCATAAAACTCAATAACATCGAAACCCAAATTATTTGTGTCGAACTTAATACGTCTGACTCTCTAGACGAAGTGATATCACCGTCACCTGACCCCCTCTCCAGTTTGTTGGAAGAGTTAAACAATGAGTAAAACGCTGATGATTAGTCTTTTTGGTACGAGGAGGGTCTGGAAGCCAGACTGGTCGGATTACGACGCGCGCAAATTACCACGGCTAAATCAACAATAATAGGCTGAAAAAGCTATAAGGCAAAGAAAACAAAATCGGCCACCGGAACACCAATCGACATAACGACCAGGACAACATTAACGGCAATAGTAAAAACAACAGTTCCTATAAGTTCAACCACATCAGAAATATATTTTTTTGATTTCCTTGATTTGTTTTCCGTCGATCTTGTTTTCCGTACTGAGTACCAATGCTACCTACACCAGGAAGGCAGGTCCCACACCTGGACCCTACCTATCGACCATGGACCGTGGACCAACAGCTTTACTTCCCCGTGATCAGTGATTTTATTCCTCAGAAAATCCCAGCGCCACCTTTGAGATGAGAGGAAATCACGTTTACCACTACACCACAGGCGCCGCTTAAAATCAGAAATCATGGCAAACCCCAATTTTCTTCCACCTGATCGAGAGCTTCTTTTTATTGTAAATAAATTTATTTGTACAGGCTCAATCGAATAAACTTTACAGAGCCAAATTATCATTTGTGTTAGACATTATTAATGTCTTAAATCTTAAGTTAAAGGAATTGAACCGAGTACTCGTGGTCGTCTCGAGGTTAGTGTTGATTAACAGTTTCATGGATGGGGAAAGGGAGAAGGAGGTTTGAAATATTATTTACGATACAAATATTTCATTATTCCTAAAACATGAAGTTATTCCTATCCAACTTGATATCAGCAGTGTAATTATTGCAAAACAAACATTAAACAAACCCTCTCTCTCTCTCTCTCTCTCACACACACACACACACACACACACACACACACACACACACACACACACACACACACACACACACACACACACACACACACACACACACACACACACACACAATATAAACTAAACACAAAGTTAATCAAACTTACAATCTAAGGTTAATATTCTTCAAGAAAACATACATGAGTTTCATAAACTCCAGATCGCGTCCAGCCATAACATCCCGAACTGGAACATTAGGTTGTCTACCTTGAGCCCGAAGGGAATCATATAGACTGAGAGCTTCTTTCAGTAGCAAAAAATATCTTCAACAGACCGCTGGACAGTGGTGGACCTCCATACAAAAGTCGGACAAAACCTAAAATGTTTCAGAATCTGACTGAAAATCACATATTTAGTAAGCGTTGGGATGCAGATTCCATTTTTGACGTCGGAAATCATACAAAATGTGAACAAATCCCCCAAAAGTGTGATATTATCTTTCTGATACCTATGAACCCATTGATTGATTACAGTCATACCTCGATATAAAGCAACCTCGATATAACGTAACTCGATATAACGTAACTTCCACCTCGATATAACGTAACTTTTTTTTTAAGTCTAAAAATTGAAAAATATCAACTCACAATCGATTATTAACGTTACAAATGTATTTCAAATTATTTTATACATAGTATTATTAAATTTTTCATATAACGCTGGGTTGAATAAACATTTTTTTTTTGCTTTATTATAGATACTTTCAGCCTGTAACTGGTTCGTCTCTTTGAAGGATTGGAGCTCCTGAGGGGGCCCCGGAGAGAGGAAATAAATAAATTACATAGTGTTTGTTACAGAGTTTAAGTATTTTAGAGTTCTGTGTCGATTGTTTTAACAGTAGTAAGGAAGGTAAACGAAGTTGTGGTTAATTTCCGAGAGAGAGAGTCCGTAGGCTGCGGGGTTGTCATCGTTGTTCTTCCGTTTGACATGTCATTTAGAGAGCTGGTGTTGTCCAAGTGCCGTCGTTCGTCCGTTGTCGTGTCATTGTTAGTTGCGGGGTTCTACGTATATTGATAATAGCCTGTGTCTTTAAGAAAGTCGAGAAGTGATCTTTCCCTGTCTGGGTCATTGGATAGTGCGTCTCTGATGCTGAGACCGATACCGTATTGGTCTCGGAGGTTTTGATGTGCAGGGCAATTTATTATGAGATGCTCAACTGACATTTTGGTTGAGCACCCCATACATTGTTTGTGGAATCCATCACGGGATCCGAGATCGTGTGATAATCTGGTGTAGCCGCAGCGTAATCTGGACAGTACTCTCTGGTCCTTCCAGTTTTTGGTGTCGGACCAGCATTTCGTATCTCCTTTTATGTTGCGTAAGAAAGGATCTCGGGTATTAGCCCATTCCTTGTCCCATGCCGAAGCGATGATCGTTTTGATCCAGATTTTTAAATCCGCTGTAGGGACTTCCGGTTTCACTGGGGTTTTCGATCTGCCGATCGCTGCCAGCTTGTCCGCAGCCTTGTTTCCACTGATATTGCAGTGGCTGGGAACCCAGGCATATACGATGTTACTGTTCGAAGCCATTCTGATTGCTTGCACCAACAGGTGTCGGTTCTTCGGACTCTCAAGGGCCTTCAGCACTCTGGCCGAATCGGTAATGATGGCCTTCCAGGAAAAACTGGACTCCGTAACGGTTGAGAAGATGGCAGCTGCCTCAGAAGAGAAGATCGATGTAGGCTTAGGAAGGCCTCTGCTGGTATCTAGGTTGGGGCCTAATACGCCATACCGACTTCTTGAATAAACATCATTTTTATCCTAGAGGGAGAAGCCAGCTCAATGACGGATGGTTTGTTTTCTTTGTCTTCTTTTTTTTCCCCTACCCAATCGTGTTGTTGGTTTGCGAAGGCAAGCCTGGGCCCGCACGAAAAAAGTTGTTTTCAAAAGCATGATAGCCCCATTTCTAATGTTCGGCCTAGTTTGCAGTGACAGTTCATGACTGGATCTCGATGACGTTTGCATGATCGATAGCAACTCTCTCTCAGATTTTTATTATTTCAGGCATGGGAGGCATGTAACGAAAAGTTTATAAATGGAGAAATAAACCAATACATACTGGGAAATATTTCATTAGACGGAGAAAACATCCAGCAATTTTGACGTAGGACTACGTCTGTGATCTCTATATGGGGATACACTTTGTGAAAACCCAAAATGGAACATGTAACAAAATTATGAAAGATTTTGAACAGTTATAACTCTGTCCATATCGGATGGATTTTAATTCTAAACAAGCTAATCGATTGGAAAGTCATCTACAAATCTGTTAAAATGAACACTTTATCAATTGTCAGTAGGTCACTATGTGCAACTGTTGCTATCATAATTTAAATTATCACCGATTGCCTGCGAAAAGCGCTTTTCCTAAAACAGATTTAAAAATTGATTTCACTACGGTCTTGCCAAACGGTGTTTATTCAATCACTGCGTATGGTGAGTGGTGGTGTTCGGTCATTATCAGCAGCAGCAGCAGTGCTTTCGGCGCTTGGCGTTCTCCAGTACATAATGAAAGCCTGCCGGCATACAGCTAGCTGCATGCTCTCGATTCAGCCTTCGATTCTACGAAGAAAGACGACGAAGCCGCACCGCTACTTATCGGATTCAGTTGCGCGTCGTGCGCCACAGTGGGCCATCGATTCCAAGTGCATCGCCCTCGTTCCAAACAACATACATATTTGTTAACCTATATTATTTCATAATATGTTTCTGTTTATTTACGATGCAAAATTCATTATCCAGGACATCACAAACATAACTATAACAATAATAAACAAAAGCACACCCGGAAGATCTGATCAACTTGTATCGATCAACCATCCTGTCGGTTCTAGAGTACGGTAGCTTCTGCCTTCAATCCGCGGCAAAAACACACATCCTGAAGCTGCAACGGGTTCA